CCTATGTGAACTACAAAAGCAGTGCCAAATTTAACTTTACGGATAAATAATCTTACAACCCCACTTCCTTTTGGTTTGGTGAACAGGTATCGGGACTCCCGGCTTGGGTCGGGACTTCCGACTGTCGGGAGTTCCGCCTCACGTCGGGACTTTCAACGTCCACAGTCACCGCGTAGGCTAAGTGACTAGGAGTCAGAACTTATGGCATGAGTCGTGACTTCCGACTGTCGGGAGTTCCGGCTTACGTCGGGACTTCCGACACCGATAGTCACAGAAAAATATTCTACGTGCTCATGGAGTGCTAGAGTGTCTCTCTTTCGATTTTATGTTTATGCTTGAGCACTCTATCTTCCTCAGACCAACTAAGTTTGCATCCCTCTTTATAGTGCGGTGGATCCTAAACTCAAAAACAAAATTAAAACCTTTAGAGAGCGTTTTGAGTTCATCCGCCTTTACAACTTCAAGAATTGAGGGATACCATTTCATCTTTATCAACTCTTTGAATCTTTCATGGGACTAATAGCTGCGACATATCTGATTAAGATCACATTAGTCCCTAATTTGGATGTCATTGATACACCAAAACTCACATAGGGGTCAAATGCACTTTCAACTCCTCCAAAGGCTCGGGGGCTACTATCGGGGACCAGTACTATGGTGCTCGAAGAGGAGGGGCTAATGGTCGTTAAACATTAATTCGTCCAGGCAGTCAAAGGCGCGACTACAGATCCAACCGACCCCTAGGTGCGTAGACTCCGCCTCACCCAACCTCTGGCCCTGGGCTCCACCTCACCCGACCCTAAGGTCGTGCGATCCACCTCGCCCGACCTCTAGGGGCACGTCCTGCCTCGACCGACACCGAGGCCACGGGCTCCGTCTCGCCCAACCTCGGAGGGTTGGCTCCGCCTCGCCCAACGTCTGAGGGACGGCTCCACCTCGCTCGATCTCTGAGGGCTAGCTCCACCTCTCCCGACATCTGAGGGCGAGCTCCACCTCACCCGATGTTTGAGGACGGGCTCTGCCTCGCTCGACTGAAATGTCCTTGTTGGTTTTGGTAATTGAGTGACAACCTAGGTGGACTAATTGTGTTTATGTGAGATACACAGGTGATTAGTCCACAGGTACATGTGTATGAGCAACATATGCCATGGAGGTGAAAATGGCTTGGAGATGTTGCAAAGCTCACACATGCGATGATGAAGGAGCTTATTGCACATGAGACATGACATTGAGTCGTGTGATCAAGGTGGAGAAGATCAAGACAAGACTTGGCTTGATGGACCGGTTGCAAGCGTGAAGGGCAAGTCAAAGGCTTTGGAGTGATGGACCGCGTGGCGGTGAAGCTTGAGCAAGACTTGGCGCCGATGGACGATAGCAACGGTGAAGAGCAAGTAGAGTCAAGATCGATGAACCAATATGATCATGTGATGATATGAAGTGGATCATATCATTGTTGATCGTGTTGGTGCATGTGTTGCATCGACATTGAAGGAGATGGAATGGAATGCGCAAGGCAAAGGTATAACCTAGGGCATTTCATTTCACCGGTCATAGGTGTGTAGAGAAGTTTATGACCGGGTTTAGGATAGATGGCCGTACTATCAAGAGGGGCAAACTTGTTTGCATATCGGTCATCTAGTGCCACTCGAGTGATCTAACTTTGCATTGTCGCTAGGATCGAGTGGCGTGGCAAGTTGAGTGGCTAACATCCTTTGGGAAATGATTGTGAAAATGCTAACACACATACACATGGTGGTGTACACTTGGTGGTGTTGGCACATTTACAAAGGAGGTGGTGTTTGCAGGGGTGAGATGGGTTTGGGTCCCTCTCTCCCTATTTTCGGCGCTTTCGGGAAAATAGAATGCCTATTTTCTATTGCGCCAGATGCAAGTTCTTGTGGTTAGCACATTGGAGCAAGGGTGATGAAGTTAGAAGTGAAAACAAGTTAGTCGCGAAGATGCTGGCGTCGGTCAACTGACCGGGACTGAATGAATGCACCGGACACCGGCAGAGGCTATTTGGCGTGCGTCCAGTCGATGTACGATGACGCAGAAAGCTGGAGTGTGACCGGACGCCGGCTGCGTCCGATCGATATGTGTGACCGACGCGTCCGGTCGAGGTCGGTACTTATTTGAAACGACCGGACGCCGGGGTTCAGCGTCGGCCGGTTGAAACTTCGCTGCGTCCGGTCAAGTCAAGTGACCGTTGGAACGGGACACGTGGTCGTCTCATGGGCGACCGGACGACGAGGTCCAGCGTCCGGTCAACACGACCGGAGCGTCCGGTCGGCCCGACCGCTGCCCGATGAAGGGGTAACGGCTAGTTTAGCCCTTGGGGCTATAAATAGAAGTGGCCCTCGGCCATGGTGTCTTGAGCACCTAAGGGGACTTAGTGTCCATGCTTGTGAGTGCTTGGGAGCCCTCCATCACACATATACTTGATAGTGATCATTCGATTGTGTGAGTGAGCGATTCTAGTGCGATTGCATCGTGAGGTTGCATCGAGTGGCACTAGGTGGTCGTGTTGCAAGCCGGTGGTGCTTGTTACTCTTGGAGGTTGCCACCTCCTAGACGGCTTGGTGGTGGTCTCCGTCGAAGCCCGCAAGAAGCTTGTGCGGCGCTCCGGAGAAGTGCTTGTGAGGGGTACTTGTGCTCGCCCTGCGGGAGTCGCGAAGAGCAACTTTAGTAAAGCGTGTCATTGAGCTACCCTCACTCAAGGGGTAGGTTCTTGCGGTGCCCGACGTGCGGGCTTAGCGGGTGATGCTAATTAGCCGCCGAACCACCAAGTGAGTGGTCGACACAACGGGGACTAGCGTGTTGGCAAACACGTGAACCTCGGGAGAAAAATCATCGTGTCAACCTTGTTCTTCCCGTTGGTTTGCATCCCCATTACACAAGCTTGCAATTACTTTTATATATCTTAAGCTTGTGTAGTTGCTCTTGTAATTAGTTAGCTTGTGTAGCTTACTAGTTACCTTCTTGCTTGTTTAGCATAGAAGTAGCTCCCTTGCGTGGCTAATTTGGATTTAGTAACCTTGTTAGTCACATTGCTTAGTTTGTGTAGCTAAGTATTTGCGCTCTCTAATTAGGCATTGATTGCCTTGTTATTGAGCTTTGCTAGTGAGCTTAGTTAGCTTTGTGCTTTTGCTTATTAGCATGTGTAGGAGCTCCCTTGTTGCTTAAAGTACTAGTGGCATAGGTTTGTGTGACCTTGCTCCTAGAATTGTTTAGGAGAGCTCTAGCTAGCCCGGCACCTTAGTTGCATAATTAGTATCTTTGCAAGGTGCTAGTGAGCATATATAGAGGGGTGTAGTCTTGGCTAGATCGATTGTTTTAATTCCGCATTTATATCGGTTAGCCGACGCGATTAATTGTAGAAAAGATTATTCACCCCCCTCTAGTCCGCCATCTTGACCCTTTCATCGACTTCTGAGGGCCAGCTCCACCTCGCCCGATCTCTGAGGGCTGGCTCTGCCTCGCCCAACGTCTAAGGGCGGGCTCCGCCTCGCCCGACGCCTGAGGGCGGGCTCCGACTCACCCGACGTCTGAGGGCTTGCTCCGCCTCGCCCGGCCTAAGAGGGCGGGCTCCGCCTTGCCCGACATCTAAGGGATGGCTCAGCCTTGCCCAACCTCTGAGGACTGGCACCGCCTCCTCCAACATCTGAGGGCGAGCTCTGCCTCACCCGAGGTCTGAGGGCAGGCTCCGCCTCGCCCGACCCTGAGGCCGGGGCATCCATCTCGTCCGATGAAGACCCATACCGCCGCCAACCACTCCGGGTCTCAGCGAATGGGCCTGGGTCAAAGCCCTGACACTAGAGAGGTGACCGACACGCCCCGACACAACACGTGGCCGTGACGGTCCATACCTAGGGATTCGCTGCCTAACCCTCATACGAACATTGACTGACACGTCGGTTCACCACGACGTCCGCCGGGACACAGTAAAGCGCCATGATCGGCAGACGATGCTTGCACATGGCGCCAGTGACGGACAGGGCCGCGACATGAAGTTGTCCCTATAGATGTCTACAAGGTTGGCGGGACCCACCTAGAAGAGAAGAAGGACCCGACGATCCTAGAGGACTTCTTCTCCTTCTGGTTCTCTTTTCCCTCGACTGTCACCCCTGCTTTCTCTTGGCCTATAAAAGGGAAAGCAGGTCATCCCATTTAGGGACATCGGAACTCATCGCAACACACCAGATCAAACTCGAATCCGACCATCGGGGCATCAGATCATCGGAACTCATCGCAACACACCAGATCAAACTCGAATCCGACCATCGGGGCATCAGATCATCGGACCCCAAACACACAGCCGAATAGCAACCAAGCTCTCTGCACCCATTCGTTTTTTCCACCAGAGACTTAGGACCTGTCTATCTCTCGCCCGCTTGTAACCCCTACTATGAACTTTCAGTGCTAGTAACACGAGCAGCAGCAACGAACTGGACATAGAGACATTCTGCCCGAACCAGTTTAAACATCGTGTCCTCTTAGCACACCATCCGAGCCAGACACGCGATATTAGAAATTTACTCGTTGGTGTTTACTCAAAACACCGACAGTAGTCTGCACAAAATGCAGGCCTCAGGCACACATATATGTTTGGAAACAGCTAGAAACGAAGACAACCAGACAAGGTGTACCTTGGTATTTTTTTCATCAGACCTCCAACAAGCAATACAACAACTGGTTTTCCATCCACTGGATTGGGCACCTGATTTGCAATAAAGGCGGTATCACGCTCTCCCCATAGGCTGACCTTGATCTGAGAGTACCTGCAGCCACTCTTGTAAGCATAAGACCGTCCGCTGTAACTCAGTTGCCCCAAAACTTTGCAAGGAAACTATACATACCTAGCATCTCTAAGAATGACATGTCTGGTAAGAATGACATGTCTGGTAAGCGTAGGCTGAGGTTTGTTTGGCAGCTGCACCATGTGAGCATCGGACACCTCAGTGAGCACTCCAATGGTATATGCGACCATTCACATGTAAATTTCAGGTAGTAATGTTAAGCAAGAAGCATAGGAAGCAAAGAGATGCACCAACAAAGTCCTTGGTGTCACCAGCACGCGCTTTTAGCTCATCAATCGGTGTCAGCCTGTATGTGTACAAAGGGAAGCCAGTCACCTCCTCTCTTGCAGTAGAGATCTGAGTATGGCACGTGAACTCAACCATGAAGGGTGACTCAACAGGCCTGAAACTGTGTTTAGCGTTGGAGACCCTGAAACGGCTTATGACATAAACACGGCTCTCCTCTATAAGCGCACTCTTGGACTCCACCTCAGGGCCTGGAATCTCACCATACATGTTGTTGCCCAATGGAAATGGAAGCCAGCCAATGCATGCATGTACATACATAGGTATCAAACATCAATAGGGAAATGTGACAAGGTAGACAAAACGCCATATCGCTAGAACCCAAAAATGACAGTCTTACCTTCGCATCAACAAGAACCAAGTCGACGTGCTGTATAGGGCCAACATCAGTTCCTCTTCGATATTCCCATTTACGGGACACACGGACACATATAGTAGCACGCCTTACACGCAGATGTAAAGCAGGAAGCAGATCGAAAGCCATGACGGCTACCTCGGTGGCACCACACAAGGAAGGCAAGAATAATAGCCCAGGTTAGTTATGCACAGTGGGAGAAATAGCTGCCAACAAAATCAACAAACTCTTACCCAATACGATAACCACTAAAACCATGGAGACCCCCAAAAACAAACCAAAGCGAATCGAAACCGAGAATCTACTAGCAGCAACAGCACACACTGCACCATGCGGAATTCCTAGAAATACTATTTTGATGTACCGAACAAAAAGGAGCAAACGAACCAAAATAACAGCAAACCACATTGCACGATATGAAGACACGATCTTGTGGAAGTGTTTTTCTAGATAAGCAAAACCATGTCAGACCATTTCTCGTGGAACTGTTTCACTAGGTAAGCAACAACATTGGACAGAGTGTGTCCCTAGTTCTTAGTAGCTGTCATGTCATAGTACACTTTCACTGGGAGCAGATTTTGCCTTACAAGAAAGAAAAGTAACTCTATATCTGTAAGCATAGTTTTGTATTTCTAAGCACAGCTTTGTATTTCTAAGCACAGTTTTGCACTTCTAAGCATAAGATACATCTGTGACGGTCGTGTGTGCTAAGAACTCAGACAGTTCACAATACTAGGGAGTATTATTCTCGTCCCATAACATAGTATCAGGTAGTTCACAATAGCCGGATCTAAGAACCCATAGTTTAAACCGTTATCTCGTAAACATCAGCATCAGGCGCACCTTCGCCGATAAGAAGACAATCTAGGCAACGCATAACATGGTCCCTCCTCTAGACATCGATATCCAGAGAATACAGCAGTGGCAAGCAAGCAATCATATATCATCTTTATTTCCGCTGGCAAAACTGAATTAAGTAACACAACAAATGAACATAATGCGCTGTCAAACAAGCATACTCAGCAATGACACTTCCTTTAAAAAAATGTGGGACTCAGCCGCCAGACCTGGCTGATGATTCAAACTACAATCGCTGTCCTGTGAAGCTAACTCTAGCAGGCAAGCGGCCCTAGCAGCGACAGAAACCGCTGCCCCTGCAATCCCTCTATACAACATGAGACCTTGGAAACTATAGTCTACCACAATAAAACCATACAGGCCCTGCAGGTAAGAAATGGCCTGCAGAGCAGCTTCTTTGTATCCAGCGCCAGCATCCGCGTTGTTAGGCGCCCAGAAAAAAACAGTGCGCCTGCAATGCACGGCCTGAGCAGATGGAACCTGAATTTCCACACCATACACGGGCCTTCGGTCTAGAGCGACCTCAGAGATGAGGGACACATAGGATAAGGCACACTTAGCTGCGACAGCTCGAAGGAGGGACATGTAGGATGCTCCAACGACAAACATCGGCCACCGGTGTCCTCACTGCTCTTACAGTACAAAAAAGGCTGAGGTCCTGTTTCGCTTCAACTTATCAATCGTACCATTTACTTGAACTTATCAGCCGTAACGTTTCAGCAAAATAATAGTGTTTTTCTTTAACAACAAATCAGCATCAGCATCCGTCGTTTTTCCAGCTAGCCGAACAGGTTTTTGCTGGTAAAACATAATTTTTTATGACGGAGCAGATTAACAGGCGAAACCATTTCGAACCACAACAAAAAAAAAAAGAAATGAAGAACCCATCATCCAGTCAGTGTCGTTGGACGCAGCAAGAAGAAATGTAGATCTGTAATGAACCACAGATATAGCTCTACATGAGAGAAGCATACCGCAGCTGGCCTTCGAGTTCTCACGCGGTGTCTCTCTATCCGATTTCCCGAGCAGAGGAACCTTCCTTTCGCTTAGCCACACCCTGAAAGATCGAAGGGAAAGGTAGAATTGAAATAAGACCCAGCAAGAACAACATGCAAGGACAACACAATGGTAGAAGCGAATCACTCTAGAGGTCTAGGCTTTCAGTAGCATAACACAAATCACGGAACCGTCGTCCCGCGCTGCCACAAACGGCAGTAGCGGGTACAACCAGCGCACCACCGACACCGCCGGCGTCGAGGCCACAGTGGCCGGAAAGACTGACACTATTCCCCCCTTTCCGCCTTCTGCCAGCTGGACGACAGTCCCCGTGGCCACATCGGTCGTCCTTGGGATCGAGCCCGCCGCTACTAACGCCACCCAAGAAGAAGCACAGCGGTGGCCATGCTCCCCGCAGCCGCCGTGGTGGAAGCGCTGCGATGGGCATGCTCCCCGCACCCGGCTGCCGTGGCAAGCAGTAGATCCGCCCCCCTGAATCTACCAACGAGCATCGCTTTCGCACGTGGTGCACCGCACGGGGAAAATCTAGCGCAGGTAGAAGACGTAGAAAGGAGGGCCTTTTCCCCGTGTGCCACTACGAAAGATGTTTCATTTTTACATGCCATCAAAAAGTTCACACGGATCCTGGTGCTATAACGTTAAACTCTGTTGTCCAACACGCCATTCTGTCCAATTTTGCTCCTCACGGTGGGTAACGGCGCAGCCAAATGATTTAGATGCCCTTAGGCTTTGAGAGGCTCTGTGAACTAGTTGGTTTGCTTCTGTGCCATTCCCAGACCAGCCCCAGGCCGAGCGTTTTGGCTCCAAAGCCAGGGTTGTTGGCGCCAACTGAGCCTCTGGGCTTCTCCTCCTATGTATAGGTCCTCAGCTCTATCTGCGTGTGTGAGTAGTCATGGATGAATGGATGGATGGATGGATAGATGAATGAATCAATGTTGAATGATGAATATGACGATTGTTCATTTGTCCAGAATGCAACAACATATAAGAAGAATATAACAACAATTAGAGTACTACAATAGTAAACAAACATCCATCACATAACAGCAGCTACCTTACTGTTTTTTAAGGTTTCATGGCGCCAACATGTCACCAACATTCATCACATAGCAGCTAAGTTATTGATTTTCATCTACAGCTAAGTATTGTCATGCCATCACAGAACATTCATCACAGAGCAAAAGAACACTCGTGCCATCACATAGCAGGTGTTTTTCCAGAACCACATCACCAAAAAAACATTGAGCAGGCATCTTTCACTGTAGATGGAGCTTCTTCTTGCTTCTAGTATTTGAAGCAGGGTTGGCTGGGCTGGATGCTACAACTTGGAGCTTCTTTGGTGTAAACTTCTTCTTGATCCCTATCTTCCTCCTTGGTGAAGCCTGGGGTAGCACAGTCTCCATTGGTTCTGTCTCTATTGTAATGGAGTCTTCATGAAAAGAGGCTAGGAGCACAGTTTGGATTGGAACTGGGTCATTGGAACTAGTTCCAGACCTTGTGGCAAAAAGGCAGAGTGTGCTTTAGCATTAACAGTCATAATAGAAAGTGCTATGATCAATTGAAGAGCTGGTAAACATGGTAAACATACCTGTTAGACACAATGTTTGTACCTGAGCTTGAAGTAGTAGTGGTAGCTGCCCCCTTGCTCTTGTCAGGAATACAAGGGATGGAACTCTCATATGCAGCTCTAAATTTGTTGACAGAGAAGTAATCATCCACATGGTCTTCTAGTTTTTCACCAAGAATTAAAGTAATGTAGGCTATTGCATGCTTGCATGGGATTCCTGACCCTACCAAACCCTATAGGAACATGTTATGTCAGGTAGGCTGACCACAAACCTGAAGTCACTACCTCTCTTAGCACACAGTTCTGCCACACCATCAGGGGAGGCTGTGATCACTTCAATGTTCAGGTTGTAACTGTCTTCCCTTAGCTTCTGCAAGATGTGAGGCAGAATCTTTCTCTCCAAGTTCTTGGCTACCTTCTTCCTATGGTTTCATTTGATCAAAATCTTCTCTCTTATAGTGTCCAGCAAATCATCCAGGTGCTTTACCTTCTCAGGCTTGATCCAATTATTGAATGACTCAACCAAATTATTAGTCACATAATCAACCTTTGACAATGTCCTGTACTAGCTCCTGGTCCAAAGTTTCTTGTGAGTTTCTTGTAGATACTTCATTGCCTCAGGTTTAGCTGCAGCCATTGTTTGATAGTGCTTCTCAAACATGTAAGGGCTCCATATATATGAAGAAGCCCACAAGTGATCATCAAATACCTTACCACTGTACCTCTTCTTGAAATTCTGTACTAAGTGATACATACACTCTATATGTTTAGCATTTGGAAAAACTTCACTAACCCTATTCATGACCGCCTGGCCACAATCTATGCAGAATGTCAAGTCCTCTGGGGTGCCTATTGCTTCCTTCAACCTCTCCATGAACCACACCCCATTCTCATTGGTTTCTGAGTCAATTACACCAACAGCTACTGGATACATCCAGTTGTGCCCATCTACTACACAAGCAATGCACAACTATCCCCTAAACCTTTCTATTAAAAATGTGCTATCTACTGCAAGATATGGTCTATAGCCTCTAAGAAATCCATTGAAAGGATCAAGATGCCCAAGAGGGGGTGAATTGGGCTAATTCTAAATTTCTTTGTAATAATTAAATCCTATGGTTAGCCCAATTAACCCCTTGTGCCTAGAAAGTGTTACTAATTGTTCAACCGCACAAAAGACTTGCAACCTAAATTCCAATTCTACTCTAGCATGACAATTCTATGAATGTAAAGACAAGAATTGAATTGCTCTAATTAAATGCTCAAACTAAATGCTCAAAGTAAATAGAGAAGGAGGAACGCGATGATCTTTTGCCAAGGTATGAGAGAGTCGCCACTCCCCACTAGTCCTCGTTGGAGCACCCGCGCAAGGGTGTTGCTCTCCCTTGATCCGCGCAAGGATCAAGTGCTCTCTACGGGTTGATTCTTCGACACTCCATCGCGGTGAATCACCCACAACTGCTCACGATGTGAGTTGGGTCATCCACAAGCTCTCCGGATGATCACCAAGCTCTAAATCACCACCAAGCCGTCTAGGTGATGGCGATCACCAAGAGTAACAAGCACGAACTCTCACTTAACCACGACAAGCCTAGGGAGAAAGGTGGATGCACACTTTCCTACTCTTGATCTTACTAATGAGGGCTCTCTTTGGGATTCTCAAATCTCAATCACCTCACTAGGACCT